CTATGCTTTGGTGTCATCCCCCCACTTTTTGACAATTTGCTGTTTCAAGTTACATCTTTTAATATTGCCTGTCTCTTCTATGGTTGCTGTATATGTTAGTGTCTTGTTAGGCTGCCCTTCGGTCTTCATACTAAGGATGTAAGCAGTTCATTCACCACTCTTTCAATGTTGGAGTATTCTGAAGTCATCTGTAAGCTTACTTTACTAATGAATTATGTACCTTCAAATGTTTTCTTGCTGCTCCTTAGTGTTGCCTTCTTTCAGATGGAAGGACTCCCTTCCGTGTTTGTTGTAAGGCAGGTCTAGTGTTGATGAATTACCTTAGTTTTTGTTTATGTGGGAAAGACTTTATTTCTCCTTAATATTTAAAGGTTAGTTTTGCTGGATACAGAATTCTTGGCTAACAGTGTTTTTGCTTCAGCATCCTGAATATATCATCCCTTTCTCTTCCGGCATGTAAGATTTCTACTGAGAAATCCACTAAGAGACGTATTAGGGCTCCATTGAATGTTATGTGTTTCTTTTCCCTTGCTGCTTTCAGTATTCTTTGTTGTTGGTTTTTGATAATTTGATTATGATGTGCCTTGGGCTTTTCTTCCTTGGATTGAATTTAACTGGTGATCTCTGAGCTTCCTGTATCTAGATGCTGTCATATTTCTCTATCCTTGGGAAATTTTCAGCCATTATTTTCTTGAATATGCTTTCTACAGCTCTTCCTTTTTCCTCTCCTTTGGGTATGTCAGTTATGCAGAGGGAATTATTTCACTTGAGGGAATCTCTTATTTGCTGTATTTCTGTTTCATTTTCTCTTATTCTTTCTTCTTTTTGCACCTCTGATTTGATAATTTCATATGTTCTATCTTCAAGCTCACTAATTCCTTCCTCTATTTGATTGTCTGCTATTAGAGTTTTTACCAAGTTTTTCAGTTCAGATAATGTGTTCTTTATTTTTAGAATTTCTATTTGGTTTTTAAAAATTGATTCAATTCCTTTGTCAAGTTTCTCATTCTGCTCCTGTATTGTTTTCCAGATATTACTTCTTATTTTCTATCTGTATTTTCTTGTGACTCCCTGAACATCCTTAATAGGGTTATTCTGAACTCTGTGTCAGACATTTCATAAATCTGCTGTTCCTCTGGGTCCATTGCTGGTGCCTCATTTGTTGGTGTCATATTTCTCTGTTCTTTCTCAATCTTTGTGTCTTTATGTTGATGCTTGGGCATTTGAGGAGACTGTTACCTCTTCTAGGTGTTATAGGTGTTTTTTGGTGGTGTTAGATATTTACTGGTTAATATCAGAGCTATGTCTCTGGTCTGTGGTTTTGGTTAATTCCAAAATTGGGGAAACTTCCTGTGGGGACCAGCACTTGAGCTCTGTGGTTGCACTAATTGCTGCCTTGCTGCTGAGTCTCTGGGGAAGGTTTTTTTTTCTGCAGCTCAGGTTTTAATTTTTGACCTCTTAATCACTTCTAGGTCCTGTGAGGTCAGATACCCCTGGGCTGTGTGGAAATTCTGGCCCAGGACTGAGTCTTCCCAGCAAACTGCACCCCCTGCAATTCTGTTGCCCTGACAGTCTCTCCTAAGTGGGCTGGTGCTGATTGGGAGGCAGATCAGCTGCCCACACTGTGCCCCAGTGTTCTCCTGGTGGCCAGCCTCCCTCCTGCACTCCAAATGCTTCTCATGGGGTAGGCCATGCACAGGTCCCTTGTGATGACACACTGGCCTCTGGGTGGTTTCTTTCTTCTGTTGGCTATAGCCCTGCCTCCTCTGTGGTCCACAGGAGACCTGCCAGTAGTCTCACTGGCCTGGGGGCAGGTGTGGTGCACTCCAAGGCCCTCTTTCACCTGCAGATTCTAGGCAATTTCATGCAAAAGCTCAGCTGCAGCTTTTGTTACCTCCTGCTCTGTGTGCTGCAGCTTCATCCCGCCTCTCACAGGGCCAGCCCTTAAGTGGCCAGAGCTCAAAATGGTCAGAGTGGGTTTGGTTTTTCCTCTTCTCACCGCAGTTTCTCCTGCCTTCATGAACTCTGCGAGTCTCTCCTCCTCTTCCCCCAAAGTCCAGAGGTCCCAGGTTGGGAGTCTTTGCCTTTTAACCATTGTAAATTGGTCCATCGCGGGGGAGAGTGATGCTGGGGACCGTCTATTCTGCCATCATGATGATGTCTCCCTCCCTCTTTTGGGGGGGATTTATTTTTATCATTTTCAGCTAACATTATACCAAACATTGGTTTTACTTTTCCTTTTGCTACCTCCACCCCTCTCTTTTCCTGCTCTCGTCCTGCTGAGGTAGCCAATGCTAGCACCTTAGTTTACACTTGTATATATATAGTATGCATGTATGGAATTTGCATTTGCGTGGGGAGAGGGATTATTGTTTATTTTACAAAACTGGGGCCATGCTATATACATTTCTCTACAACTTCCTTTCCTCATTTGGCCATATGTTGTGGAAATCCGTCCAGGCTGAGAGACATAGTGCTAACCGACTCTTTTTAATAGTTACATCCCTCATGGGTGGATGAAAGAGTCGCAATTTATTCACCTATTCTCTGATTGATGGGGACTCAGGTTGTTTCCAGTCGTTCCTCTCCCACGAAAAATGGTGCTGCCATAAACATTTTCTACCTTTATGAACAGGTACTTGCATTTCTGCAAGTATAAAATCCCAGAGGTAGGATTGCTGGATCAGAAGACATGTGCGTTCTTTTTAATTCCCAAAAACAGCTGTAAAAATTCACATCTGCTCAGATAATGGATGAGGCCACTCTCCCCAGATGCTCACCAGCACTTGGAATTAGCAGTCTTTTAAATGTTTTTAATGTTTGCCAGTCTGATGGATAAGAAATGGCATCTCTGTGTGTTGCTTTAATTTGCATTTCCCTGTTTACTAGTAAGGTAGAATAGCTTTATATTTATTTATTGTCTTCTTGGAATCAATCATAACCTTCACCCATTTTTCCTACTGGGTTTGTCTTTACGTTGTGAATTTGTTGGAGCTCAGTGCAGGATATTAAGTCTTGTATATGTTGCAAATATATTTTCCCAGGCTACCTTTGTCTTCTGATTTATTAGGGTATCTTTTTCCATACAAGGTGTTTTTTATTTATGTAGTCAGCTATGTTTATCCTTAATAAATTTTTGGTTTCCTGTTTTGTTTTTAAAATCTCCCCAGTACAAAGCCATATCCCTAAGTTTCCTTCTGAATATTTCCTTGTTTTATTTTTTTCTCATTGAAACATATAATCTCTCCAGAATCTATTTTTGTGAAATTAAGGTAGGGTTCAAGTTGTTTTCTTCCCTGAGGATAGCCAAACTCAGCATGTCCAGGCTAGGGGCCCCCCAAGGGGCCCCCCAAAACTGGGGCAAGGAGGTCTGAGAAGTGCTATGGACTCCCCACCCCCAACCACAGAGCTATTCTGCTTTTGCTGTTTTACAAAATGGGCTTTCAGTAAAGATTTGGTTCTGAAGCTAAAGGAAATTTGGAAATCCCTTTCAGATGATCTCTGGGGATCCTTCCAGGTCTGGCAGTCTCTGACTCCATAATGCCCAGGACGGAGAGGAGATTGCTTATTAAGGGAGAGAGGGCAAGGAGTCAGCTTAACTTCATCCAAATGTAATTTCAATATTAAATCCCACATTGGCTCAAAGTGGATATTAGAATCACAGCATTTTAGAGGTGGATGGGCCCTGGGAAATCATCTAGTCTAGTGCCTCTTCATCCTAGCTGCCTTTAGAATTACCTGAGAACTTTAAAAATGTCCTGGTGCCCTGGACCTGTGCCAGACCACACGAATCAGATTCCCTATGAGGTAGGGCCCACGCATCAGTATTTTTAAAAAGGTCCTGGTGATTCTAATATGCAACTAGGGTCGAGCACCTCTTGTCTAGTTCAACTCCCTCATTTCATTAGTAAATAAATTGAGACCCAGTATTACACAGCTGGCTAGAAGTTGAGTTGGGACTAGAACCCAGATCTCCCACTCCTGGGTTGGCTTTTTCATCGACATCAAATAAATCTCTCATCAAGCCCTATACCTTGGATTTTGGGCTGGTAACCCTAAAGTCTCTGTATGAATGCTTTATATCCTTGCATATGACCAGCTGAAAAATGTTCACTACATGCAATTCTGTGCATCCCAGATGAATAGACCTAGTGCTGCCTTGCAGGACCTCAGTGGGGAGCAGGGTCATAAAGAACTAACTATGGGGCTGGCCCGGTGGCGCACTGCTATAGTGCGCCGCTTGGGAAGCGCGGCGGCGCTCCCGCCAAGGGTTCGGATCCCACATACAGACCGGTTCCCACTCACTGGCTGAGCGAGGCGTGGGAGCAACACCGAGGGATGCGATCCCGTTGCCGGTCCCGGTCTGGTGCGGGGGCGACACTGAGGGTTGCGATCCGTTGCCAGACACGGAAAAAGGAAAAAGGAAAAAAAAAAAAAAAAAAAAAAAAAAAAAAAAA